GATGATGGGCTCAAGTATAGCAGGGATTGTGGGGCTGGTGCGGGATCGGGCAGTGTTTCATTCTGCTGTGCATGGGGTCGCTATGAGTCGGATACGACTTGATGGCAGTTAACAACAACAACAATAACACAACATGTGAGAGACATTCATTTTTAAAGTCTTTAAAATTATACAGAGTTCATTAAAAAAATCCTTTTAATAACTTTAAGGATAGATTATTTCTGCATGTAAAAACTAAATATTGAAAAGTGTTTGCTTTATAAAAGCTTCTTTGTAGAGATAACATAATTCCAATAAAGAAAGACAATAGGATTTTGTTTTGGAGCTTAACAAAATTAAATATTTCATGGAAAATAAACAAATAAAATTCTAGGACGAGGTTCCAGATTCCTGCTACAGTGGGGTAACACATAATACCTAGCCTCTCCTACTGATTGCAACTGAAACCCTGGATTGGTTACATGGAGCAACTATCTGAGAACTCTGAGGAATAAATGGTAGTAAGCAATTAAGGAAGGAAAACATCTTAAAATACCACAAACCAGTTGTGAGTTTCCTGGAGTTTTTCTCACTCTCTCCAGTGTGGACTCAAAGGCAACCTGTAAATGGGAAGTGCACACCAAGTATAGACAGAATACTCCAAGCGAAGCCCTCTCATTCTGGTTGGAGGAACATGAAAGTCTCTAGACAGAGTGAAGGAAATCCTCTGCTTGCTTTATTATTGTTATTTTGGTTCTCTCCCACCCCAGTCCCTAAGCAATCCTGCATGGTATTATAGCAGTAGTGGATGAGCCAGGGGCCCTAACTCCTAGGGACTGGAAACCCTTGTCTGACCAGAGAAACTATGATTACAAGAACATGGATGGAATCCCATTAGTTTTTCTTCTCTTTTCCTGGTGCTTGGTACTGGAGGCAGAATTAATCTCAAGATGTATATGACAGAGTAGGGAAACTAAAGCCCAGGGTTCTGTTCAGAATTCCAGGAAGGGGTGTCTTGGGAGAGGAAAGTGTCAGGAGGAGATCACGGAGAGGAGGAAACTCAAGAAAGTGAACCCAAAATGTTGGATATGAAGCTTACTCCCAAATTACACATGCATAGATAAAACCATACAAAGCAAACCAGCATTCCATTCTGGGAAGTGCACCATCCAGGTCCCAGACTGACCGCTGTGTGGCACAGCACACAGGACAGATCCAAATAGCACTGCAAAGGCTTTGGAAACAACTGCTCTTATAACTACAGGGCAGCAAAGTTGGGTCTGACTGAGTCAATTGCTTGTTGAAACACAGCAAAGGAAAGCAAAACTCTTCATAGGATTTACACAAGAGTCCCATTACTCTAATATTCTAATATATTACTCTAATATTCAGAATGTCCAGGATACAAACCACAATTACTGAAAATATGAAGTGCTGGAAAATCTTTACATCTCACAGAAAGAGATAATCAAGGTATGCCCATCTTGAGATGACATGGATTTTACAATTATCAGATAAAGACTTTAAAGAATATATTATAACCATGATCTGAGAATACCGCCTCAGAAACCCAAGGAGAGGTCGCTATGAGCTGGAGTCGACTCGATGGCAGTGAGTACTCTTGAGGAAGACTTATTTGCCACCTGTAAAATGAAGGTGACCCAACCTTGCTTGCTGAAAGTGAAGATGACTTGCAACACTTACTGATGAAGATTGAAGACAGTCTTCAGTATGGTTTATACCTCAACATAAAGAAAACAAAAATCCTCACAACTGGACCAATAAGCAACATCAAGATAAACAGAGAAAAGATGGAAGTTGTCAAAGATTTCATTTTTCTTGGATCCACAGTCAACACCCATGGAAGCAGCAGTCAAAAAATCAGATGTCATATTGCACTGGGCAAATCTGATGCAAGGGACCTCTTTAAATTGTTAAAAAGCAAAGATGTTGCTTTTAAGACTAAGTTACACCTAACCCAAGCCATGGTATTTTCAATTGCCTCATATGCATGTGAAAGCTGGACAGTAAATAAGGAATACTGAAGAAGGACTGATGCCTTTGAATTATGGTATTGGTGAAGAATACTGGAAATATCGTGGACTGTCAGAAGAACGAACAAATCTGTCTTGGAAGAAGTACAGCCAAAATGCTCCTTAGAAGTGAGAATTGCCAGACTTTGGCTCCTGTACTTTGGTCATGTTGTCAGAAGGGACAAGTATATCATGCTTGGTACAGTACAGGGCCATTGAAAAAGGGGAAGACCCTCAACAAGATGGATTGACACAATGGCTGTGATGATGGGCTCAGACATGGTAGTGATAGTGAGGATGGTGCAGGGCAGGGCAGTGTTGTGTTCTGTTGCACACAGGGTCACTGTGAGTCAGAATCGACTTGATGGCAGCTAACAACAGCAACAACTTTGTGTTAGACTGGGTTCTCTAGAGAAACAAATGCCAGCAAAGCTTATATATGTGTGTGTGTATATATATATGTGTGTGTGTGTATATATATATACAGAGAGAGAGAGGGAGAGAGAGAGAGAGAGAGAGAGAGAGAAATTTATCTTAGGGAAATGGCTCACAAATGTATGTTGTTGTTATGTGCCGTCAAGTCAGACCCAACTCACACAAACGTATAGAAGCCAGCAAGTCCAAAGTCCCTGGAGGAAATGTCGGGCTGGAGGCAGCCTTAGCTTCCGCAACTGCAGGGGGCCGAGAAATTCAAGGCTGGCAGGCAGTACACTGGTTGTTGACTCCAACGAAAGATGAATCCAAGATCTCCAGGCCGAGCGGTGGGCTGCTCACTCATGGAAGGTTGTAGGCAGCACACCAGGGTCCTGATCCACAGAAGAATGTCTCTCTTCCCAGGATGTCCCTGGATATTCTGGAAGCAGGCCACACCGCTAGGGAAACTCCCCTTGGGCAGTTTGGCCACTCAGAACACAGTCATCTGATCCCATCATGGGAACAACCACACAGAACTGGGGTCTAGCCAAGTTGACACACAGCTCCAAATATCACAACCTTGAAACAAATGGAAAGAGAAATGTGCAGCACAGAAATAGAAGATAAGAAAAAAGGAACCAAATGATGTTTGTGCACATGGTCATGCACACACAAAAATGAGTACCAGTAACACTGGGGGACTCTGAATGAGAATGATGAATTTTATCAATGTCAGTATCCTGGCTTTGATATTATACTATAGTTTTGCAAAATGTTACCATTGGGGAAAACTAGGTGAAATATATGAGATATTCTTGTATTAATTTTTATAACTACAGATGAATCAAAAACAATCTCAATAAAAATGTCAAATAAAAAGAAAGAACCAAATGAATATTTTAGAACTGAAAAATATAACTGAAAAATAAAAAGATCTGCCCTCCCCAAAGCTCTGTTTTCCACCCCATCTATTCAGTTCATGCTATTCTAGTTCAGGTCCTCATGCCTGGATTATTGTAATAAATTCTAACTGTTCTTTGCTTCCCACCTCTCCTCCTCTAGTTACCTTCTAAACCTCGATGTTAGAGTAATGTTATCCAGCTGCAACTCATCCTCCGTTTCAAAGCCCATCAGAGACTCATTCTTTGTAGAAGAATTCTTAACCGAGCAGTAAAACCCCCTGAAATCATACCCTCAGCAGATCTGTCCAGTCTTAATTCTCTCAAATCCCCAAAGTATTTTTTATTCCAGCCAATTTACTCAACATTCTCTGATCATGTCTTTTAAGGGTTTTTTTTTTTTTTTTAACCATCTATCTAGAATGCCTCAGTTTTTCCTGGCCATACTGCCAGTATTCTCTGGAATAAATCTGATCCATTCCTCAAGACTCATCGCAGAATGTGATCTTGATGAGGCATTAATTTATCATTTTAGCTTCAATTCTTGTCTCCTCCTCCTCTGATAAGGAGGGTAGTACAGTGCACAATGCATTTTGACTGCTAATCAGAAGATTGGCAGTTCAAACCCACCAGCTGCTCCACAGAAAGAAGATGGGGCAATCTGCTTTCATAAAGATTTACCACTTGGAAATCCAATGGGGCTCACTATAAGTTGGAATCAACTCTATAGCAATGAGTTTGGTTTTTTGGTTTCCTTCTCTGTTAGTGCTCATCAAAAACACCTTCATATTTTATGTATGTCCATGTCTTTCTATCATAAGAAATTGAAAAGGTCCTGTCTCAAGCACATTTCTTAACCCAGAAAGCTTACTAAGTGAGTTGGAATGGATGTCTGTCAGAGTTTAAAACTGGGTGCAATCCATTAAATAATTTGGTTCTGTAAGATTGGAACAAAAGTCTTATTAAGATAGAGTGTTGCTCAAGAGGTTCTTTTTTATAAGACCAATGGCAGAGAGTGCAGGATTTCTTACTATCTGGACTCTGATTTAAATGAATACTCTTTATAATAATTTGCAAAAAATTTTATTCAAAATTCACTATCTAGATTGAAAATCCACTGTAATGAGTTTGAATGTACATATCGGTAAAATCATATAAATTACTTGCAAGTCCTGGTGAGTATGCATCAATTGTATCTCACATGTGATAAGTTTGCTTTACTTGCTAGCACTATGCAAACACATTAATGAGTGCATTAAGTATCAAACAACTAGGTAACTGTTGTAAATGCTTTATATTACTTTGAAATTCTTTGTGGATTGTTGCATAGATTTAAGAAATGTTAGTGATATTTGGGGAAATTGCTGGGGGGTTTTATATGAGCTGGGAATGCATTCTTACCTTTTCTGTTTAAATAATGAAATATTGGCTCCTACTGTCTATGAATTTGTTATGCAGCTTTGCTTTCAGAAATGGGTAATATTTAGATACTGAAGGATGCCTATCCCTTAAGAAACAAGTATGGTTTTATGTTTATGTTAAAAAAAAACCCTCTCTCTTGTTGAAAGTAGTACGTTTCTGTGTCCTAGGATTAATGACATCAAAAAGAAACAGTGCTTCTGAATCCACACTGTCATTACCCCCTGGTGAAGAATCAAAGACTGTAACAGAGAAAGATGGTAATATGATATATAACTTTCATTTTGCAAAATACTCATTGACCAATGGAAATTTAAAGTAATACAGTGGGAAATCAGTTTACATGGGGATTACATTTTAAAGTCAGTAGGAAAAAAAAAAAGCTTAGTAATAATAACCCTTGAAAATTCCTTTAGCAACTCATGATAAAGTGTATACATAGTTGTTTTTTATATTGTCCTTTATGTGATCTTATGTCTATGTAAATTACAGAATGAGTGGACTAGATTAAAAGAGAGGAAAAAAAGGAAATGCCATAGTGCAGATGACTTGACAGTATGTTTTAAGTTGCTGTTACTTGTCAAATCATTAGGTGAATAGGGCATGAGTAGAAAAGTCACAAGTTTCTTGCTTGCCTTAAAGTTTAACTCAAAAGATTTTAATAATTAAATATTTTTTCCCTTAAAACATGCTAATAGCTTTTTTTTTTGTACAAATGTGATAGGGCTCTATTAGCTCAACAAAAGTGAGGGGTGGGAGATAGTGGTGATTACAGTAGGTACTCAACTTTAAGTTAATTGATGTGTTGACCGACACTCTCTTTTAAAAAGGTTGTAATCCTACAGTCTGAATCCTTACAAAACAATTGCTTAAACCTAAAAGTTTATACATAAAATCTTTGCATATTTGGATGAAATCAAGCATTTAATCTGACACTAAATAATCCGTGACAAAGGAAGCTAATAGAGAGTTCAGAAAGATTTGCCTGGAAGAGCACCTCACACATGCACTGCTGTTCTCATTGCCGACCCTTTGATACGTTTCTTTCCTTTGCCTGTTTCAGTTACCCTGCTTGGATCCATCAGCAGTTCCTCCTCTACATCTTCTTTGGAACACAAACAGAGCTACCTCAAGAAATTGAGTGCAAGTAGCAATAGCAAGAAGACAATGAGCAAAAGCTCTTCTCTTTCATCTCGAGCCAGTGCTGGTATCTATGGCTTTTTCAACCAGGCTTTCTTGGTGTTTTTTATCTTGGTTTGTTTGTAAGTAGATTTGCTCTTTTTAAATGTGTAGAAGGAACCCTTTACTTCAATCAGATTGAACTACTTGCACTCTTCCCTGCCCCCACTCCCATCCTACCCCTTACACCCTTTGTAAACATATGTTGGATTTCTCTTCTTTTCTCGTATTACTCTCACCAGTTTTCTTGTCTGGACTGACTACTTCTCTTTCTGACATATCTAAGGCCTCCAGTCCTTTAAGGTTCATTGTAGAAATTTATGATAGATCCTCAGATACTTGGAAACTATTATGTTTTATTACTTCTCATTTCTTTTCTTATCTAAACCTTGTAATAATAACTAACATTTATTGCATACTTACTGTTTCAGCTACAGTGTTAGGCAGTTTACATACATTATTTCATTTAATTCTCAAATGTATAGGGTGGTTGTTGTTGTTATGTGCCGTCGAGTCAGACCCGACTCATAGCGACCCCTCCTTGGGTTTCCAAGGCAGTATCACTACGGAAGTAGATTGCCCCATCTTCCTTCTGAAGAGTGGCTAATGGGTTTGAACTGCCAGCCTTCTGGTTAGCAGTCAAGTGCCTTAGGCACTACGCTACCAGAGCTCCCAAATTTATAGGGTAGATACTGTTAATTATTCTCATTTTATGAATGAGGAAACTGAAGCTTAGGAAGGAAACCATTGGTCCACGGGCATATGGTTTCTGAGTGGCACCCCGGCCTTTGCCCTTGGGTCTGCCTGATGTTGTAGCCTGCACTCCCTCAGCTGCTGTTGTCTGCCTCTGTTGCCAGTACCTTTAGTTGTTCCTTAAGCACAGAGTCTGCAGATCCTCACCAGCCAGGTGATTCAGAGTTGAACTCACCAAAACCAAACCAAACTCACTGCCATCAACTTGATTCTGACTCCGAGCTACCCCCATTGGGTTTCCGAGGCAGTAAATCTTTATGGAAGTAGATTGCCTCATCTTCCTTCTGTGGAGTGGCTGGTGGGTTTGAATTGCCAACCTGTTGGTTAGCAGTCAAATGCCTTAGGCACTATGCCACCAGAGCTCCTTATAGAGTTGAACTATTGCTTCGATTGGCTCTCCATTTTATAAATAGAGGTTAAGGCAATGTGCGCAATTTTGGTTGTTGCTGTTGTTATTGGGCAATTTTGGTAACCACGTTTTATTGTTGGCTCAAATTGAGTCTGTTCAGGTCTCTTCATTTTGCTGCTGGATATAGGACTTTATATTTATTTTCATTTAATTTAATCTTACCAGTTTCATCCTATCTGGATTTTGTTCCTTGCATCTTGCCTATTAGCTTTGTGATATCTTTGCATTTAAAAAGCATGTTTCCTCTGTTTTTATCCAAGTGGTTGTTTAATAATTTATCTGGGAGAAGGCCAAAGACTCTTCCAGGTTGACAATGATAACCTGTTCTGGATATGATTTTTTCTTTTTTTTTTAAATTTTATTGTGACTTGGGTGAAAGTTTACAGAGTAAATTCATTTTCTGTACAGCAGCTTTACATATTTTATTTCATAACGTTGACTGCAATTACCCACAGTGTAACAGCTCTCTTCCTACTTCCTCCCTGTAGTTAGTCTTCCCTGTGTCCTTACCTCCTATGCACTTCTGCCCCCTGAGCTATCTCACTGTGTAAACACTGCCCTTCTGTTCTCCCATGATTGATTGCTCCAAGTAGTGTGTCTACCTGATGTAAATATTCACAACATATATCTGTCTGTTGTTTGGCTGGAAGCCAGAGGAGTGAGTTCAATTCCAGACGTGAAGTGTAACTAGGGGCCATAGTCTCAGGGGGTCTCACTGGGCTCTATCAGACCAGCAAACCTGGTCTCTTTTTTTTTAAAAAAAATTTATTAATGATTTTGAGTTTTGTTCCATATTGTTCTTCCATTCTATCCAGGATCTCCTACACCTATCACCTCCAAGTGGTTGACAGTGGTAGCCAGGTACCATCTAGTTCCCCTGGTCTCATCATCATATAGACTGGGGATTGCATGGTCCGCTAGTTCCTTGGACTAATTGTTTCCATGCGTTTTTGGTTTTCTTCATTCTTCTTTGTTCTTCATATGAAACAACGTTTTTATGTAGTATGTTATACCAGTTGAGCTTGATGTCCCCTGTGACCATGGTCCGGAGCCCACAGGTCTGACTACTTGCTCCCTCCAGGTAGCTGGCTGTGTCCAAGAAGCCACCACAACCTTGCCCCTTGTCGGCTCTACTATACACCTGGATATTCTTATAGCACATACAGATGCACATGTAGATTGTCATCTGCCAACCCTATGCATGGTCAAGGGCTAGATATGGTTTTTAACTAACTGTGAATCCTGCATCTAGTCCACATTTCTTCCATTATGTGTAAGAATATGTAAGACATTATCAAACTTCTTGTTGAAATCAACATATCTATTGCAGTTCACTTATTAACCTGTATAGCAAACTTGTCTAGAAAGGAAATGAAGCCATTTTGTCATAAATTGTTCTTAATGAAACTCATAATAATTACCAAATTCATATCCTAATATTTCTAATACTTGTATTGAACCAATATTTTATTATAAAATGTTCATGACAGGTTTTTTTTTTTTTTCCATTTTAAAATATTTTACTGATGGGAAAAACACCCCAAACCCTCCACAGAAACATTGACATATAATGTAAAATGTGGGACCCTAAAAGTTGGAGACCTAAGAGTTTTGCCTGAAAGTATTTACCTAGAATATTTATTGGAATAACTTCCCCCCAACTCCCAACAATTTCTTTTAAAGCTGTGAGGCACAGAGGTGAGAGGATGTAATGATGTATCAACTCTACTTGTCCCACTTCTTCTGCATTGTAAGACCACTTTCATTTGGCACTTGGGCTTTTGACATTTGTTTGATTTTAAAATTTATAGGTAGAGCTGTAGTTAATTTTTTTACCCTTTAATAAGATTACATATTAAATACTTCTAATAAGATTACATATTAAACTTTTTTTTTCTTTTTATGAATCTGAGAATAAGGTAGGCTTAAAAGTAGTGAAGATGAAGAAGAATTATCAATTAGAGAAAGAATGAGAAAGGGGACCTTTTAGAAAGGTAAGAACATTATGCTGAGTGAATTAAGACAGAAGGACAAATATTATATGATCCTACTTATATGCAATATCTAAAATAGGCAAGTTCATAGAGATAGAAGTTCATTAGTGGTTTCCAGGAGCTGCAAGAAGGGGAAGGAGCTCTGGTGGCGTAGTGCTTAAGGCATTTGACTACTAACCAAAAGGTTGGCAGTTCAAATGCACCAGCTACTCCGCAGAAGGAAGACTGGGCAATCTACTTCTGTAAAGATTGACTGCTTCAGAAACCCAGTGGGGGTTGCTATGAGTCAGAATCAACTTGATGGCAGTGAGTTTGGTTTTTGGTTTGGTTTGGGAGAAGAGGAGAATGAGGGGTTATTGCTTAAGTGGTATGGAGTTTCTGGTTGGGGAATTTATTTTGAATTGAGAAAAAGTTTGTGGAGATAAAGAACTCTGGTGGTATAATGGTTAAGGCATTTGGCTGCTAACCAGAAGGTCAGTGGTTTGAACCTGCCAGTTGCTCCACAGTAGAAACATGGGGCTGTCTGCTTTCATCAAGATTTATAACCCAGTGGGGGTCTCTATGAGTTGGAATCAACTCAGTAACAGTGAGTTTGGGTTTTGGTATTATAGAGGTGCACTGAGCGGTTAATTACTAAAAATACTGTTATTGTTGAGGTCTTGCGATGTTTTTGGGATTTACCAGCTTTCTGGTAAATACCCATGTAAGAAGAAAAGGGTGAGAAGAGGGCAAGGGGTGAGACGGAGAGCAAGTGTAGGAGATATGTGAGAGAAAGTCTGTGTTTGGACATTGCCTTAAGACATTTTTCTAGAGTGAGTAGGTACTCTACTTTTCTGTAGTTTTGCATTTGAAGGAGATGTGGACTGCAAAGATTAGACAATAATGAAAAGTTAGGATAACGAATTAAGGAGAGAGAGCAGCAGAAAGAAAGGGTTAAGGGAATGGGAGAGGTAGAGGAGGGAGTCTGTTCTCTGGGCCTCAGCCTCATTGTGTCCCATTCTTGAACTTGCCTTATTTGACCCATTGTCTATAGACAGCATGAGGACAGACCTGAGGATATGTGGTCACAGGATCTGGGTTTCAATCTAGATGCAACACATACTAGTTTTGAACACCGTGTCTTAGATAATTCTCGAGTTTGTTGTCATTTATAATTTTTATGAAAAGCACTTTGCACACTGTGAAATGCTATGGAAATATCACTTAGGATAAGTGGCTAGGGCCTTTTGGTATAGCACCTTATCCAGACCTCCTTTCTCTGTGGGTTTATATTCCTTCATTTGTTGCCATGTTTTTAGTTTCTCTTTCACAAGCAACTTCTCCTCCATACCATGCCTTCATCTGTAGTCTTCCAGGCCTTCTCAGATGACAGCTATTCTAATCTCTGTTTAAGTTCTAATGGAAGAAGATTCAAGGGCCCACCGCTTCTCTTTCACCTGTTGTATTTGAACAGCTTTCTAGAGTTAGTATTTTTGCTGCTTAACAATTGGCATTTCAGAGTTTAGGAGAACCTGCTGGCACAGCGGTTAAGTGCTTGGCTGATAACTGAAGGTCCATGGGTTGAGCCTGAAGTAGGACCAAACGTGGGTCCCTGCCCGGTGCGCAATCAGGCCAAAATAGTTTACACACTGAGTTACTAAGAGGAGAGAAAATTATTTATTGCAAAGCGGCAATGCAAGGAGACGGGGCAGTACCCAAATCTGACTCCCTGAATGGAGGTTGGGATACAGTTTTGTAAACTTCAGGAAAGGGGGATTATATATAGTCATAAAAAGTTCAGGAATTTGGGTGTGAATTAACTGGGGATTGGCTGAGGCTTCCTTTGCTTCGGTTTAAAGGGACAGTCGATTTTTAATGCAGTGCACTTGAGCACCAAATTAGTCACATTGGCTTCCTGTCATCGGCTGATTGGGGCTTGGGCAGAGGTGAGAATGTCATTTCCCAGAAACTTCATTCCTTTTGGCTCATTGCGCATGTCCATGAGCCAAAGTTAATTTTCAAGGTGTTTCTTATCTGTCTCCAACCGAGGTAACAGATAGGATGCAGACAGGATGTGGACTGAGCTTTGATTCATGAAGTATCGTGTCTGCCTATCTTTCTTAACCAGGGTGGAGGTGATAGTTGAGCTTTCATTCTATTCTGTTTTTAAGGAACTGAGTTATGTATTTACTTATCTGCCTTCAACTGAAGATGCAGGCTGAATTGATTCCACGTGGCATCAAACCCACTGGCCACTCTGCAGGAGAAAGATGTGGTGATCTGCTTCCATAAAGATTCCACCAAACCAAACCAAATCCATTGCTATTGAGTTGATTCTGACTCATAGTGCCCCCCATTAGGTTTCTGAGGAAGTAAATCTTTATGGAAGTAGATTGCCCTGTCTTCTTTCCATGGAGTGGCTGGTGGATTTGAACTGCCAACTTTCTGGTTAGCAGTCAAATACCTTAGGCATTGCTCCACCAGAGCTTCTTTCTGTAAAGATGATAGCCTTGGAAAACCTGTGGGACAGCTCTACTCTGTCCCATAAAACCCAACTTACTGCTGTCAAGTTCGATCTGATTCATAGCAACTCCTCCTTGGGTTTCTGAGGCAGTATCACTACGGAAGTAGATTGCCTAACCTTCTTTCTGAGGAGTGGCTGGTGAGTTTGAACCATCAGCCTTCTGGTTGGCAGTCAAATGCCTTAGGCACTACGTCACCAGAGCTCCTAGAACTCCTATGTTGTGTTGTTGTTATGTGCTGTCGGGTCGGACCTGACTCATAGCGACCCCTCCTTGGATTTCCGAGGCAGTATTATTACGGAAGTAGATTGCCCCATCTTCCTTCCGAGGAGTGGCTGGTGGGTTTGAACTGCCAGCCTTCTGGTTAGCAATCAAGTGCCTTAGGCACTATGCTACCAGAGCTCCCTAGAACTCCTATGGGGCAGTGAGTGTGGGGTTTTTGTTTTGTTTTGTTTTATTTTAGTGACCCTAGAGCTCCTATAGGGTCACTAAAACAAAACAAAACAAAAAACCCGCACTCACTGCCATCAATTTGTTTCTGACTCCTGGTGACCCCCATTTGGGTTTCAGAGGCTGTAAATCTTTATGGAAGTAGATCACTCAGTTTGACCTTTGGGTTAGCAGTCAAATGCCTTATCACTATGCCACCAGAGCTCCATATAGGATCGCACTATGAGTTGGATTGACTCCCAGTAATGGGTTTGATTAATTTTTTTAATGGATATTTCAGGGTTTAGGTTTTAATATAGATGAGAGAGAGTGGTTTTGTTTCTAAAGAGGAAGTCACTTTGGGGTAGCTGGAACTTTACAGCAATTATACCTTCAAATCACATTCTTGTATGTATTGTATTCACCAACTCCCAGGGAACTACTATAATTCTTACATTTTACTAGAACAGTGATTGGCATATTATGGCCCATAGGTCAAATTGGATCCGGTATCTTTTGTAAATACAGTTTTACCAGAACACAGCCAAGTCCATTTGTTTATATTCATCTGTGGCTGTTTTTGCCCTAGACCAGCAGCGTTGTGGTTGTGACAGAATCCGCATGACTCACAAAGCCTAAACTATTTACTATCTGGCCCTTCATAGGGAAAGGTTGCCGACTCACGTTCTAGTTTAGAGTGAACTAGGTAGAGTTGATACCAGGCAATCCTGGTAGAGTTGATACTTTATCAGGAATCAGGTTGTGCTAATTTCCCATGCTTACTCTAGGCAATACTTTTCTCAAGAAACCCTTCACATTCCCTTCCTTGACCTCACAAGTGAGAAATACAACTATAGATGGCATAGATAATGAAAAAAAAAATTGCCATTGAGTTGATTCCGACTCATAATCATCTCCATTGAGTCTCCAAGGCAATAAATCTTTACAGAAGTAGATTGCCTCATCTTCTGCCTGAAGAGCAGCTTGTGGGTTTGAACCACTGACCTTCTGGTTAGCATCTAAATGCCTTACTCAATACACCACCAGACCAAAAAACAAACAAACAAAAAAAACCTCACTGCCATAGAGTTGATTCCAACTCATAGCAACCCCTCCTTGGGTTTCCGAGGCAGTATCTCTATGGAAGTAGATTGCCCAGTCTTCCTTCTGAGGAGTGGCTGGTGGTTCCCACCAGCCTTCTGGTTAGCAGTCAAATGCCTTAGGCACTACACCACCAGAGCTCCCAGAAGAGCTCCTTATAAATAATGAAAGGCAACAAAAATCGAAATCCCCAATATTTAGCTTGTTTGGAACACATAGTGATACTTTGGCTGATGTGCTTTTTGAGTTTTTTCCTCCTTTGTTTTCTCTTCCCTTGTCCCACTCTGCCCCTTCACCTCAACCAATTAAACAGGTTTGAATTCCTCAGCAACATCCGTAGCAAATAGTACCCGCTGTGAAGGAGAACTCCACCTTGGAGATAGAGTGTTGGTGGTAGGCCAGAGAATTGGTACCATTAAGTTCTTTGGGACAACAAACTTTGCTCCAGGTAACTTATCTGTATATTCTTTGTTCAATTTGAATTCTTTACAATACCAAAGTTTTACAATTTTACATGTAAATAAAATTCAGTTTTAGAAAATTCTTGATTAAGAGTTCAACTATGGCACAGAAAAATGCACAATGATTAAAACTCAGACTATTTTTATTCAGGTTGACTGTTACCAGTATATTATTGTCTAATGTTAAAATTGTCACTCTCTGATTTTACTCTTACTGATTGCAGAATGTGCCAAGCAACAGGGAAAACTTTAGGATTAGATTTTTGCTAAGGATAATCTCTAAAATTAGTGATAATGAGTTAATTGAGTATCTTTTTATCAGAGTGACTTGAAGAGAAATGTACACAGGAGAGTTCCAAGGAAATTGAAAAAGATTCCACGTACTCTGGGACCTTAAAAAAAATACATGTCTGCATATTTTTATATTCATTCCAAGTTAGACTTAATACTGTGTTTACAAAGTAAAGATTATCTTTCTTTTACATTTTCAGTAATTGTGATTTCAAATAGAAGCCAGTTGAATGAAACCATGTTCTATATGTTTTCAATAGCAATATACTATTTTGACACATGGTGGCATTGCAGCCTTTTAGGAAAATATAACTTAGAAAATTGATTTAAAAAAAAAAAAAAGTTTGTAACGTTCTGTCAAGAACGGTGAAGTATCTGAGATTTTACTCAAATTGAAAACTAACAAGTTAGCCTGCCACGGATTCATGGATGTTGGCAGAAGATATAAGACTCTTGGATCAGAGACAAAGGACTTTGTTACTCACAGAAATAGCCATAGCTAGAGCATTAGCATTTTCTTGTTCTGGTTCCTTAATCCAAAATTCCCACAGGATGATACAAAGAGGGCCAAGTGACACCTGCACACTTCATGATTTATGTTAGAAGAACCCTGAGCTTAAGGAATCTGAACCTTATGCTGAACAGTAAGCATGCTTGTCTTTTCTTCTGGAGGGAAACACTATCTCTATCCTCCAAGGCTGTCCTCTATACAGACATCCATGAGAAGACAGCTTGGGACAAAGGCAGTCAATCCCTCTACCCATCAGACATGCAGAAACGCAAGTGTGCCATAGAGAACTGTCTCCCAACACATTCTTCTTTTGTTAATACTACTTTTAATTGCAGTTCAACTAATTGATTTGAAATGAGTTGCATGTTTTATAATTCACGTTTCTCTCAAGTATCCAGGTATTAACTGAGATTAGTTAGGATGTTCTTAAAAATACTTCTTAAATAAAACTTGGTACCTCAAATGTAGGTTAATTTTCTCAATGACCATATTTTTTCCCTCTTAAATTAAGCAAAGCTAGAATGATTTGATTCTTAGGATACTGTCTATCCTTTCAGGTTGACTTTTAATTTTTAAATTCCTAATGTGTAACATTTTAGAAATTTGGGAAATAATATGCAAATCTAATAAAATTGGAAACTTTTTTCTTAAAGTCATTTGGCCCTTAAGAAAGAAGCATGTATTTCAAATTTAGGTCAAACAATTCTTCTGAACAGTGAGAATGTCTAAGCTTTTTATAAATCATAAGATTTAGTCCTAAGAAGAGGTCATGTTTAGCCTTTTCAGTGTTTTTATCCATACCACCTCTGGAAGAAAATGAACATTTAAATGGTAAGATACTCATTCCACACCACTACCATACAATGTGTAGCTACTGTTGTTAACACTTGTCAATGTATTTCTGCTATGTTACACATTTTCAAGAGATTGGTTATTGCAGAACACCAAAAAGCAGTTATATGGTAAATTAAAATAGGAATGGGCAAAAATTATGTAGGAAAACATCAAAGGAAGAAGGAAGTAAAACTTGATAAATTGTGACTGTGGCATTCAGAGAAATTGAGTGGCAACCAGACGAATCTGGTTTACAACATTCAGAAATGTGATAACCTGTTTTCAGAGCATTAGTATGACTGAGCAATAGGTTTGTAGACATTGCTCTGTACCTAGTCATAGTAGGACTATGTGAGTATAAAAGGTCATTAGTTTTTTAACCTTTACCCCAGTACCTGGAAATAGGGTCAGGTGTCATTTTTTTTAACAAGAGGGAAAAGAAATTAAGAACTTCTTCCAGCTTCGTGTTTTAGAGTTTACATAATTGACACTTTGAACTAGTAATCTGAAAGAAACCAGTATTTTTGTATTTTGTAAGTTGCAATATGTTTTTCAATATCTCTGTCCTTATATCTTGTTTGATATTGATCAAAAGAGACCAAATACATTTGCTACTTTACTCTTCTTTTAAATCACAGTTATTTAAAAGAAGATGAGATGTTTTTAACTAGTCTTGAAGCACCCTCAGTTCTAGAATTTTTACTTTAGGAATGTTTGCCCATTTACTTAATATTGGGATAAACCATACCCAAAATACACTCACTACTATAATTTTAGGCTTCCGAGAAAAGGAAATCCTTTACTTCCCTCAGAGTGGGTCCTTTCAAATACTAAAAAGCCTTTCAGAAAATTCTTCCTGTTAGCTAACCTAAATCTTCTCAGTTTTGTTAAAAATTATTTTTCCTTTCATCCTAGATAGGGGGAAGAAAAGCAGAAAATTACCATGATGTGTAGTGGTATTTTCCACATTATTCTCATTCTTTCTTAATTATCTAGGGACTGTTTATGGTGTTCTAGTATTGAAAGGGTATAATGACAAGCTTGCATATTCATTTTATGATATATGCATCTGAATATTATGCTACACTTTTCTCACTAAAACACACTATATGACAATGTTAAGGACAGTTTCTTATTTGGTATAGTTTTTAGATACATTTTGATCATAATAGCTAATAGCTAATCCTTGCCAAATTTGTGTTTGTGCATTTTATTTTCTTCCCTTAATGTTCCTCTCTGCAATTACGCTGGTAAAATGTATTTCCTGTTTGCTTTTCAAATTTTATTATTATAATTTTATTATTTGAAAGCTTAATGATTATGATGATCTTCCATCATTCCAGTCATTTGTGAAAATGTAACACCATCTAGTCTTTGGGTTTATATAATAGCATAACAATTTTGTGTAAAGTGTATATGCTTTTAAAATATTCGTGTTTTCTAGGGTATTGGTACGGTATTGAGCTTGAAAAACCCCATGGTAAGAATGATGGTTCAGTTGGAGGTGTGCAATATTTTAGTTGTTCTCCAAGATATGGAATATTTGCTCCCCCATCCAGAGTGCAAAGGTGAGAAAAATGGAATTTGTGAGTATTCATAAGCACCTTTTGTGATTTTCTGTGGTTTCTGGTTAGATATGTAGGGCCAATCTTCTTTCAAGGGGTTAACCGACCACCTTCTTCAGAGAGAAGGCCCATGGAAAGCTAAATTTGCTTTACTGAGGATTTGCAATTTTAAAAACCTCCTTTATTCCTCATTTGCAAACCCTATGAGTATGCGTAGGCTATTAGAAGTGGCGTTTGCCGCTAAGCACAGTGAGAGCAGCAAGCTTAATCTGTCATGCAAACAAAAGTAAAAATGCTCTCTGATTGCTTCAGTCACATCCTAACCACATTAAATCTCCTGCCAGCAGGCACCCCATTCATTTTCCTACAAACCTAATGGAACCCAAATGGCTTTTGCCTCTAATTTCTTTAGTTTTCAAAAATAGATAGGCAGTAGATCCTTGGGGGAAGTGAAGCTTCAAGGATTTATATATAACGTACCTCCTTGTGTTCCTTCTTAAGATAGTATACTTTTATACTAATTCACTTGGATTTTAAAAAATAAGTTGAGCAGAAACAAGTCCTCATGAAAAAACTCTAGGTACTGTTACATGAAATGATTTCCCCTATATGCTGAAAGAAGTTGGCTTGGTCTGCTTTTTAGTGAATAGGAAATGGGACAATAATTGTTCAAAATAACCTGTATGGTATAAATAACCACAGTCGTGAGAATAGACCTACAGTCACGATCTAGGAGTCTCTTTAGTTTCTTTCCATAAAAATCCAATATAAATTGTGTGGCACTAGATAGTCTGACAGATGTTCAAATGTATTATTTCAGATTTTCTTGTGACATAGTTTTCTTTAAAAATGTCTATACTTTCACATTATATTTTAGTTTTCTTTTTTAGTGTACCTGGAATAATTTTTGTTTTTTTTTTCAATGAAATCTGTTATAATAAACATTGTTACTTCCTTCTGGCAAGTTTAACAGTTTTTACATCTATTTTCTTCCTCAATTAATTTTTCTTATTAAATAATTATATGTAATTTTTATATTAATTACTTTTATTCTATGATATATTTGATGTAATTCTTTTATTATTTATGATCATACAACATTTAACATATAATGCTTTGTAGTTTATAGAGTATCTTCACTGAAATATTGTTTCATTCAATCCTAATAAATGTTTAATCAGGCAAGATGGGAAACAACAATCACTATTACAAACACTGGTTGGGCATTTAATAAATGGAAAGTACAGTGGACTTTAGGTGCATATCTCACTGGTCTCCCCAAAACAGGGACTTGGGTATTATGATCATTCCCATTTTGCAAATGAAGAAACAAGTTTCAAATGATAAAGTAACCTGGCTAAGGGATTTACTCAACCTATTTGTTATTTTAATTGTTTTTGTAAGCCCCTTCTTTTAGACGGTATTAACTAATGAATAGCTCTTGTTCAGGGCACTGTTTTAAGTACTGTACATATATTAAAGAAAAAACCAAACCCAAACCCATTGGCATTGAGTCAATTATGACCCATAGTGACCCAGAGGACTGAGTAGAACTGCCCATCCATATGTATATTAACTCATTTAATCCTCTCCAGCAACCTGATGAGTGGAGTACTGTAATCATCTCTTTCACAGATGAGGAAAGTAAGGCACAGAGAGGTTAAGTGAACTGTGCAGATGTGCACAGTTGCCAAGGGGGATTTGAACCCAAGAAAGTGTGCTCTTAACCATTACCTCCAAAATAACCAAAACCAAACTCATTGCCATTGAGTCAATTCCAGCTCATAGCGACCCCCATTGGTTTTCTAGGCTGTAAATCTTTTTGGAAGTAGATTGTCCCATCTTCCTTCTGCAGAGTGGCCGATAGGTTTGAAATGCTGACCTTCTGGTTAGCAGCCAAGTGCCTTATCCACTACGCCACCAGAGCTCTTTAACCATTACCTGGTAATAGTTAAAAGAGGATCCAGTGACTTTCTTTAGGAAAAAGAATCTTATAAACGATTGATTTGGGAATAAAATCCATGCTGAGTCACCAGCCTACTGTGTTCTTACATTTGAGCACATCTTCATGAATACCTTATAACAATCTCTTACAAGTTTTGTTTGCCTCCCAGTTATGAGGGCTCAGATTCTTTTTTTTTTTTCATGTTTGATTATCCAGAGACCATACTGTAGCATGTGATAGGCACAATAAATATTGACCAAATAAACTGATCCCTAGTTCAGTGCTTTTTATGCTGTCATAGCTTTTTCTTCTCCTTTATATTGTGAAGCCACTTTCTTTCTCATGGCTTCATGGTTTTTCTCACGTTGTTTATGGGACACACTTTTCATCATCATCATTATTTATTTATTTATTTATTTTTTACTTCTCTCCTGTTTGGTCTTCTTTAAGGTGGTTCATGTAAAAGCAGCCTCTCTTCTCCCTTAAAAGAAACAGGACTCTCTTAATGAACTGCTATCTCGATCCAGCTGTCTTCCTGTCATCTTCTGATTGTCTCATTCATCATCATCAAATACTATTAAGTGTCTTTTAGCACTTTGTGCTGTGCTAGGCATTCCATAAACAAAAAAAACAGACACAGTCTCTGATTTTGTGGAGTTTCTAATCTAAACTAGCGTTGGAGCTCTTTAAAGACACCACAGATCTGTAAGATGGAAGAATAGAGTGAGAGGAAAAACGTGAAACAAAATCCAAAAACTCAGTAATGACCAGAATTACTCGTTGGATGGAATCTGGTGAGACCCCCAATAGTATGGCCCTGGGATACATTCTGGGCCTGGAATAAAACTCTCTCCCAGGGGCAGGCTCTCAGCACAGTAATAACCAAGATGTACATGCAGACCACCCAACCCAGGGTGACACACCCACATACTCTATGGAAATGCATCCCTTGGAGCAATCAACCACCGGGCACCAGAGGGGCAACATTCCCACGGAGGAAATGCAGGACACACAGGAGTGCATAACTATGAAGGGCATGGGGTGGAGGGGGCAGTTACTGGGCAGGGAGGGGAGGAGACTGGGTTAGGGCTGGACATGGTAAATGGGGAGTGGAAAATAAAAAAGATGGAAGCATTTTAAACTAGGGGCTGCTTAGGGGACAGTCTTAATGAGGTAGTAACCAGCCACAGTCTCATCTTGCATGTCCTTCTTCCTCAGGATTATAGCTGCCCTTTTGTTGTTGCTTTGCTTTCTGTCCATTTTTAAAATGTGCCCCCTGTCCCAAAATCTTTGCTTTGGATGGCTATCTAGACCCATCTACCTCCAGACAATGTTCATCTCTCCGGTTAACACCTTTTCTTCTGCTAAAGGATAAATCAGTCATTAGTACTTTAGAGAAGCTCTAAGAAAACTTAATGATTGTATCAAATGTGACCTGATCTATATAATATAATAAATAAGTATTGCCCAGATAGTCTTCATTAGTATAGTATTTCATTTTCTCACCATTAGGTACTTGTTACTAATGAACTGATCACTTTTTAGATTATGTTCCTCTCAGCTGTCCCTCACTACTTAAATTCAAATATCTGCCCTGTTCATCAAGCCACTATCTTTGTGTCCATCAGTCTCTCATGATTGTTGTATGCTGTATATCATTATAAATGATTACTATGAATTGCAAGATGAAATTGCAAATACTGCAAGAGTTGTGGCTTTCTAGATAGTAATAAACTATGCTGGAGGTAGTGATTGACAAATGAAAGGCCCACAGATTTAGATTAGTAAACAGTTGAAAGTGAGGCTGTTAGGACTGGCCTTTAAAAAAAAAAAAAAAAGGAAAGAGAAAAGGAATGAAATGAACATCAAAAAATAAAGAGAAACCTGTTGGGAAAGTGGCCTTTAAGGTTGTGCTTAGAGTCAAACAGAAAGTAAAGGATGTTGAATTGTGTTAACCATACAGTTTCATCAGAAAATCACACATACGTAAAGCAGCCCAATGTCTTTTTTTCCCTTCACTTTAAAAATTAGTGATATTTTCACAATAATAATCAAGCATTTGTTAAATATAATTGAAAATAAACTTCCTTTTGTATTTTTAGTTTCACTTTTGAAAATTCGAAAGAAATAAAGTTGGGCCTCTGTTTTAAGTGAATTCACTTTAAGTTGATTTTTTTTTTTAAAAGTATTAATTATCCTTGGATAACAGGAACTTTTCTATTTGATTATTGCCTGTCTCCCATACTAGATTGAATCTCATCCCTAGCTCATAATAGGTGGGTTCTCAATGCTCAATAAATGTTTGTTGAATGAACGAAATAACGAATAACAATCAATGTGAGAACCTCAGTAGAGAGCCAGTCTTAAATCTTAAGATCAGCTGTTCCTAATGAGATGTGCATAATTTGTTTGTTTTATTCATAGAATAACAGATTCCCTGGATACACTTTCAGAAATTTCATCAAATAAACCGAATCATTCTTATCCTGGTAAGATTACAGTTTTGTGTTCCTAATAATTATTCCTTTGCTTTTATTTATTGAAAAGTTTTTATTGTGAAGTATACGTGCATGAAAAATTATATGAAATGTATTTCTAGAGTTCATATAGTCCTACAGCAAACATGTTACCCACCACCCAGCGGAAGATGATGACCTATACGATAGAAATCCCCTGAATATACTCCTCCTAGTTTCACTTACCTTTGTCTTCATATTCTCCATCCTCAGTTTATGACTGTCTTGAATTTTTTATTAATTATTATTTGCCTTTCTTTATATTTTTATTGCTCACATATAAGTATCCATAACTGATAAATGTTTAGTTTTGTTTGTTGTTTTTTATTCATACTATACTATTATTTAGTGTTACATTGAAATACATTGTTTATTCATTTGATAGCTGATGGATAGTTGGGTTATATCCTTTATTTTATTTTATTTTTTTTTTGCTATTAAAAAACTATGCTGTACATGACCTGGTGCACATGTGCAAATGCTCCTCTAGGGTGTACAGGCAGAGGACATATCTTCCTCTTCCAGGGTTGTGCCAAACTCCAGTGCACACTCAGTAGCAGCGGGCAAAGGTCTCTGTTGCTTGTCACCTTGCTATATTGCTTGATTTAGAAGCTTTTCCCATCTGATGGTTGGAAATAATAACTCATTGTAGTTTTAATTTGCATTTACCAGGTTAAAAATGAGGTTGAATGTAGTTTGATGTTTATGAGCCATATATGTTTCCTCTTTTATAAAGTATTTTTTCAAATCTCTTGCCCATTTTCTTTTGAGAAGTTTGTCTTTACCTTATTAATTTGTAGGTTTCTATATGTAGTATGTGTATTAATCTTTTTACTATTATTATTTGTTGTACTATGACTTGCCTTTCTTTAAAAAATATTGCTGTGATAAAATATATATGACAATTTCCATTTTAACAATTTTTAAATATGTAATTCAGACACATTAATTATATTTACTATGTTGTACACCCATCACCACTATCCAGTTCCAAAAGTTTTTTTATCACCTCAATGAGAAACTGAGTGTCCCTTCAACAATAGATTCCCATTCCCCTTATTCCTCAGTCTCTGCCACCCACTAATGAACTTTTTGTCTCTATCCATTTGCTTATTCTCAGTGATTTCATATACATGGGATCATACAATATCTGTCCTTTTGTCTGACTTACTTCACTTGGCATAATGTTCTCAAGGTTTACTCATGTTGTAGCTTGTATCAGAACTTCATTCTTCTTTATGGCTGAATAATATTTCATTGTATGTATATAACACATTTTGTTTACCCATTCATCTGTTGATGGAAACTTGGATTGTTTCTACCTTCTGGCTGTTTGAATAATGCTGCAATAAGCATTGGAGTATAGTGGGTACTAGTCTTTTGTCAGTTTTATGTGTAGCATATATTTTTGCCCAGTTTGTAGCTTTTTTTTTTTTTAATTGATGTCATCTGTTGTTAATGAACTTAGATTTTTAATTTTTAAAGTTAAAATTAGCAATCTGTTCCATTAGGATTTGCATTTTTTATCTTAAGAAGTCTTTTCCTAAAATGGACATCACAAAGGTATTCTTTTATTATTGCCTTCTGAAAGTTTTATACTTTCACCTTTCACATTCAATATTAAGGGATTTGTCTTCAGTTTCACTGATAATGTCTCCATGGATTCAGTTCTACTTCTTTGTCCTTCCAATGCATTATCTAATTCTGAGATTTTGGTGTTAATGTTCCAGATTTTTGGATTTGCTGTTTTTGTGTGGCTTCTAATTGTCTATTTATTTTGTCAATTTGTTCTTGTATTGTTTTCCTAAATAGTTTTGGAGTTTTTCATCTGTATTTTCTTTGGTTTTGTCTTTGTTTTCCTTTATCTCTGTATCTATCTGCTGAAGAGTCATAAGTATAATTTCTTTAAATTACTTATCAGGTCTTTCCATTACCATTTCTTCTGGAAGATTTTCTGGCCCTGTATTTTGGTCACTTGAGCCATCTTGTTCTGTTTTTTTTTTTTGTGTGTGTGTGATTTGAAGTCTGTTATCTCTGAGGGAGCTCTGGTAGTGTAGTACCTAAGGCATTTGACTGCTAACCAGAAGGCTGGCAGTTCAAAACCATCAGCCACTCCTCAGAAGGAAGGTTGGGCAATCTACTTTCATAGTGATACTGCCTCAGAAACCCAAGGAGGGGTTGCTATGAGTTGAGATTCACTTGACGGCATTGAGTTTTGTTTTTTGGTTATCTCTGAAATATTGTTATGTTCTTGTATTTATTTGTTAATTAAATATTGGTTTGGTTCACCCTGATTTTTTTATTTGTTTTATTTTGATATATCTGGGCTTTTGGGGTAGGCGTACTACTCTGCTAGTTTGGCAGCACTGGGGTGCTCACCACCTGTCTCTAGGTGGATTTGGTAGTGGGTGGCAATGTGAGTGTGCATCAGTTTGTTGATTGTGTAGAGCAGCTGAGGGCAGGCTGTGTGCATGTTGGCTGGTGTCTGTTGTTGATCCAGTGGTGCTGGAGCAGGTAGTGGCATGTGCCCTGTGGGTGAGGCAGCAGGTGTTGTGGGTGTGGTGGGTGTGGCTAGGCAGGGTTGCTCGCTCCTTACTGATAGGGCAAAAGAAAAAAAGGGGAGGGAGAAAGGGGGGAGAAAAAAGATCGTGCAGCAGCAGGCATAAGCACTTGCCATCAGCTGCAGAAGTGGCTGTGCTGACTGAGGAGACAGTGGGGGCGTGGCTGCCAATCCATGACACTGTGCACTGCCAACTGCAGAGAGGAAGGCGTGACCCACAGCCCATGTGAGTGCGTGCTGCTGACCAAGGAGGCAGTGGTTACACAGCACATGACCCATGAGAGCATGCCCTGCAGAGCTCAGAAGTGGCAGGCTTATGGTGCTCCATCTATAGGAACATGCCTCAGGCCACTGGGGAAGCAAAGCAGGAGGTGGGGGACCATGCAATTGGGGGAGGTGGGCTGGTAGCAGCATTCTGCAGGGGAGGGGTTGTGGGGGGATTCACTGGCTCCTGAGTGAGTAGGGGTTGGGGAAGCTATGACCCTGGTCACTGGGCGGGTGAGTGGGGTTAAAGAGGCAGAATGCATTTCTCTGGTTGCCAGTTACTGGTGTGATTGCCTGTGCATTCCTGTGCAAATTCAGCCAGTTATCTGGTTCCTGCCTGACTCATTGCAAGGTGAGGGGCTCTTGGAATCCAGTGTATCCAGCTGCCACCCCACAGGCCCTCCTCCCCATGTGGGTCCCCTACCCAAATGACTAGGGACCACAGCCAGTGAGTGGTTTATCTTTATTTACTTGCTCCCTCCCTGCTCTGTTGTCACCTGAGTCTGGAGTTCTAGCCCCCTTTCCTCCACTTCCCTTCCTTAGATCTCTTCCACTTCCCTTCCTTAGATCTAGCTGTATGCTGCTCTCCTTACTTCACTCTGGGTTTGTCTACACTGTATCTCTGACTTATTGGGGATTCCGCAAAGTTGCTTTCCTATGACTCAAAATGGCTGCTCTATGCTGCGTTGTCTGGGAGAGCACCTCTGCACCTTTCTTCCATCAGTATTTGGTCTACTTTTATCCTTTCATTTGATGTTAGGGTTCCAGGACCATTATCTGTATCCATTTTACTTGGTCTCTCGGGTCTTTGTTGTAGAGGGTAGGTGTAGAATATGTAGCTAGATCACCATCTTAACTCCACCTCAGCCTTTCACATTTAAGTTGTCAATCTACCTGTAATTGTTTTTGTGTATAGTAAGGATCTAATTTCATTTTTTTCCCCCAAGTGGATAACCTTTTGTGAAAAGTCTGTTCTTTGTTCATAGATCTGCTTTGCCTACATTATCACAAATCAAGTACATTTATATGTACTGTTACGTTACTAGCCTCTCTGTTCTGTCCTAGTCCTCTACTTTGAAATCTTTGTTCTTACTTTAGTTAGTATGGATTTCTAGCCAGACTTGATAGCTGGTAAATTAAGACTCTCCCTCCCCTAGCTACACACACATACCTTGTTATTATTCTTCAGGAATGTCTTAGCTCTTGATGGCTTTTGTTCTTCCTTATGCATTTGAAATCAACTTGGTAACTGCCCTATAGGCTTTCCTAGGCTGTAATTTTTATGAGAGCAGATTGTGAGGTCTTTTCTTCTGTGGAACCACTGGTGGGTTTGATCCACTGACCTTTTGGTTAATAGCCAAGTGTTTAACTGTTGTGCCACCAGGGCTCCTTAAGCTTATGCTAGCTTATAAAATTAGTTGAAGAATATTTCTTCTTTTTCTTTTTGTTCTTCTTCTTCTTCTTCTTCTTTTTTTGTTTTTTTTTGCCTTTAGGAAATATTTGTGTTAGTTGGGAATTGTCTGTTACAAGACTTTTAGATTGCCTGGGGCTATGTTTTCTATTTCATTTCATTATTGATTCCATTTCTTTAAAAATTTTAGAACTATTTAGGTTTTTCTTCTTGAGTTGGTTTTAGTAGTTTTTTGTTTTTCCAGGAATTTATCTATTTTATTAAAAACTTTCAAATATGTTGGCAGAAATGTATTACAAATATCCTGTTCTTACATGTTTCATATTTAATCTCTATAACCTTTGTACTTATTTCCTCCTTTCCTTTCATTTCATTCTCTCTCTCTTATCCCCTGTTTAATCTTGTCATGAGTTTGGTATTTTCCAAGAACCAATTTATGATTTTGTGGACTCTTTCTACTGTACGTTTGAGTTGGTCCCTGGCTCATGGTAATCCCTTGCACAGCAGAATTGGACTGTTGTCATACATAGGGCTTTCACTGGCTGAGTTTTCAATGTAGATCACTGGGCCTTGCTTCTTAATCTCTGTTAGCCTGGAATCTCCACTGACAACCGTTCTGTATAATAACAGTGCAGGCCCCTCTGACAGATGATTGGTGACTGTGCTTGAGGTGCATTGGCTGTGTGGAACCTGAGTCTCCACATGCGAGGAAAGAATTCTACCACTGACCTACCTCGTCTCCTTCCTGCTCCTTTCTTCAGGTTTATTCTGCTAGTTTTCTAACTTTTTGGGTTGGATACCTGTTTCATTAAGTCAATCTTTTCCTCTTTCCATGTTACCATTTAAGGCTATATATTTCTGTTTTCCTGCATCTCACAAATTTGTATACATAGTATTCTAGTGTTCAGTGGTTCATTTTATATCCATTATAATGTTTCTTCTTTGACCTATGAGATGTTTAAAAGTGTGTTTTAAATTTCCAAGTTCATGAGGATTTTCTAGTTCTCTTATTATTCTGTTTCTTAAAGGCAATGTGATAAGAGAATGTGATTGGTATAAATATTTGTTGAGCCTAACTTTATGGTCTAGCACAACATTTTGACAAATATTGCATGTGTGCTTAAAGTGAATATGTATTCTCAATTGTGTTTAGTATTTTAAAACAAGTTCGTTAACTGTACTGTTTAAATAGATATCTTTATGAAATTTTTTGTTTGCTTGATCTGTAAATAGAGAAATCTCTCATTTGTCATTTTCTCTTTGAGTTTTATAAATGTTTGCTTTGTGTGGTTTGAAGCTACATTTTTAAATGTAGCTTAAGTTTAGAATTACTATACATTCTTGTGAGTTGAACCTTTAATCGTTGTTTAGTGATTCTCTTTTCATGTATTAATTCTTTTGCTCAAGGATTTGCCTAATACATCTTTTCTATCCATTGATTTCTATCCTTTCTTAGGATTTTGAAATATTTTCTCATAGAATATAGTCGGATTTAGGAGCTCTGGTAGTGTAGTGCCTAAGGCA